TACTCATACATACACACTCTTACACGTACACACACACACACACACACTTCCTACACACCTCATCTGCTGTGGTGGTGTATACATTTGTATTGTATTGTTCCATATTGTAATTACTGTATTGTCCTGTCTAATGTCTGTGTGCATGTTATATGTTGCAAATAAAAAAAATAAAAAAAGATTTCAGTTTTTAAAAGATGGAATAGAACTGAAAAGTGACATTATACCGGGGGTGTTCTACATGTATCTCTATGTTGGAGTGTTCAGCAGCTACAAATTCAAAGATTGTCTGAAAACTCAAGAAAAAATACAAACTGGATTTAAACAGCACATTTTAGGAGCTTGTGATCAGTTTGAGTGTTCATTGTCCTGTTTCAGTGTTTGATTTTCAACAAAAAGATGAGAGTGACTAATTGAAAAACCGCTGGCTAATGTCATCTTGCCTGAGACTGTAATTTTGCTGTGTGAGACTTTTTTAACAACACAAACCATCTCACCAAACCATCTCACCTGTTGTAATTAAAAATAAATCAGCTCTTTCTGTTCAGATTGTGTTAAAATAAAACTCAAATTAAAGTCTAACAGAGCTTCAGTTAGCTTCCAGTTATCATCACACCGCAGAGAATGTTAATGTAATCAGCTGCAAAGTATCAATAGTATTTAAATATACAGTTTTCTTTGGATTATATTTTGCATCCTTAATGGTGTTTTTGTAGAATTATTTGACACATAAATATCGTTAAAACAAAAATATAGTGGTAATAGCTGTCGACCTGTAAACTTTTTGTTAGTTTCGGTTTATTTCTGCTGGAGAATCTCGAGCGCACATTGGGGGGTACTCGAAGTGTGAGACAAAGCTCTATGGGGTACAGAGACAAAAAGCCTTGTGAAGCACTGGATTTCTCAACCTGTCAATCTCTCTCAGCGGCAAGATCCCAGACTCTCTATTTGTGAGTTCAGTCTCTTGGCCATTTTGAGAACTTTTAATGGGCCCATATCACGCTATTTTCTGATCTATGTTATATGTTGTTTCCTCATCAAAAGCAGTTGTGGTTGTGTATAGGAGTGTGCAAAAATATCTAAATAACGATATATTCCATCTTATTGTGGGCTGCTGTATCAATATATGGCCAAGAGTTTTTTTTTTGTTTGTTTGTTTTTTTTGGTATATTTTACTAAAGAATTTTGTTACAGAGCTACAGTTTTGTTGCTTGTTTATAGGAAGTGTTAGGATAATAGCTATTTTATATAATCACTTCTATAGTTCATTATTGTACCGAAGTCATTTGAAGATAACAGCTCTGATCTCAGCTGTGAGACTCATAGATATATGTCAAGACAAATGCAGGATATTCCAATTGATCTTATAGTAAACTAACTAAACAGGACAAGAACTACTGACAGGGATGATGTCATGACTTGTTAGCCAGATAACACCCTGGATGGTGTCTGACTGGATTATGCAACATGCCAAGAGGCCTGGATGACCAGTGCACCAACAAAGAGGCGCTAAGTCTAAACCACAGTAGCCTCCCACTATAGTTTACATATAAAAGTCATTGTATAGGCGCAAAACATTTAGTTTCTGCATGGTAATGTCAGCACAGACTCCTTGTACAAGTATGACTTTCTAATATTGAAACAAGTAAATTATCTGTTTCAAGTGTATTTTTTATCTAACTAAGCAGAAACTAACAAAAACAAGAGGAAAATGTTGTTTTTCTCAACAGAAGGAAACTCGTTTATGCGACACATTTGACATTTTCACTGTTTTGATGATTAAAATGTTTGTGTTTCATATGAACTTTGCACAAAAAAGTGGTTTAACAAACACTTTTAGTATCACAGCCATGATTTAACCTTTATTTTTTATTGAATCATATCGAATCAAAAGATCACTGTATCAAGATATGTATCGTGGCCCATGTATCATATCAGTAACTTCTTAATGATACCCAGCCTTAGTTGTGTATTGTTTCATTCACACAAATCCTGCATATTTAGGCTGAGTTCTTCTCTCAAACTGAAAATACTCTGTTCCACCTTGTGATGTCATGTGGTAATACAGGAAGTGCCCCAGTGTGTTTTTAAACTATGGATCTATTAAAATAACTGGACAGGGTATTGCTGCTTGTAGCTGCCATCAGTTGACGTAGTGGTCACTCGTTGGTACTACAGCAGAAAAAATGCCATGGGCTAAGACAGGATTTTTCTCATAGAGCGCAATGTAAACACAAACTGCTCGTGTTTGGTCGACATGGCACAACTTTCAAAACATGTCAGATTTTGTAGTGATTTTTACCTATTTTTATATCATAAACTTTTTCTCAGCTCACAATACTTCATTTGTCTTAAAAAACACTTTATAATCCACTTTGCTTCACTCTAGCTCCTCTTGGTCTTATTGTTCAAAGCGATCACATGATGCACAAGACTCTGTGCATGTGTTCGCGTGCATTCGTGTGTACAGGAGAAAAGAGCACTACTGCACATGCTCGGACGGCCCACAGCCAGGCTAAGGCTAGTCTAGGCGAATCTGGAATCATGCACCATTGAGCTCGGCCCATTGACTTGAATGGGAATTTTGAAACCCTGGGGCTTGTTTTAAACTCCACACTTTTACTCCATAGTTTTACTAGAATCATCTGGATAATGAAAGATAAAAAGTAGCTGTCAATTTGAAAACGACCACTTCATGACATCACAAGGTGGAGCAGAGCATTTTGAAATTTTGAGATGTAAACAAACTAATAATAAAGGGTTTCTTAAGCATGTGTGAATGAAACAAAACACAACTCCAGGTCTGTTTTTGAGGAGGTAGCAGCATTATAACATGCCTTAAAACTCACAAGAGAAAATTTTGCGTAACATACAACTTTTAAGGAGGCCATTTTGAGGACTTTTAACCATTCAAAAGACACAATATTTAGTTTTAAATTGTAAATAGACATGGCAAGCACCCCAGTATTTCCTCACTCTGCCTTCCATTGATATATAATAGGAAAAGATGCATCATGACTAACCACTCTGCCGCTATACATTTCCATAGTGAAAGAATCAGAGCATTGCCTGTAGCCGTCTGGCCCGCAGCAATGGCTCGTAATCTCATTCGGTGGTGCCAGTGCCGGATGGACATTTATAACCTAATAAAAAGTTTCTAAGTAATGTTTATCACGATGTCGCTTTAGGGCATTTTGAGTGAAATTGTCTCTGTAGTTTAAGAGAACTATCAGCAGATCCACCGTCACATTTGCATTCATTAGTCTAAGCTGTGGACAGAAGGCGTCAGACAGCGGAGACTTGGCCCCCAGGCATACACAAAACAGAGTGAATTGGGTTAAGTGATGATACAAAGGCAGCTTGAGGATACAATAGCTTCATTTTGCATAACATTCATATAACCTGATTGCTTTCACTGTAACTGTATTTAGTAACAGTTATGGGCTCATATTACGCTGTTTTCTCATCTATGTTGGAATGTTGTTTCCTCATCACAAACATACCTGGAGTTGTGTTTTGTTTCATTCACACGTTTAAGGCTATGTTCAGACTGCAGGGTTTAATGCTTAATTCAGATTTTTTTAATGAAATCTGATTTTTTTGCGAGGTCGTTCACATTTCCAATTAAATGCGACTTGTATGCGATCTCCACTGTGAACTTTAAATGCCCCAAAAAGTGTCCCATATGTGCATAGGAGGTCACGACTACATCACAAGTAGCGAGCATGCTCAGTGTTTCCGGAAGTCGCCTAAACATGGACGATGACATTGAGCACTTGGAGATTTTAAAGTTTCCGTCGTACCAGAGCCAGAACATGTACAGATTATTAGTTTTAAGGAGGAGATTGAGAAGGAGAAGGACGAGGTTTCTGCTGTTTTGTGGGGCAGTGGCAGCAACGTCCGTAGAAAGGAATATGTGGGTGCAGAGTCTCAGTCAAGAGTGGTGGGATTGTTATGTGCTTCGCCACTTCACTGACACAGAGTTCATACACAATTTTCAATATGACGAGAAGAAAGTTTGTGTTCTTTTGTGATCGCCTACTTGTACTTCTTCCAGTTTCCGCCTACTTCAGTGCAGAATAGGGGTGTTTGTCGCTTGTTGATGATGTGTAAGAATGTGACCTGGCGTTCAGACTGAAGTCGAATGTCAACAGATCAGATATGTATCGCATTTAGGAGCACATATCCAAGTGGCCTGGGTCACATTTGAAAAAAGCCGATCTGTGTTGTTCAAACTGACATTAAAAGATCAGATACAGGTCGCATAGGGGCAAAAAAATCTGATTTGGGTCTCTTCAGGCTGCAGTCTGAACGTAGTCTAAGACACAAATGCTGCATATTCTCACAAACTGAAAATACCGTTCCACCTTGTGATGTCATGTGGTAATACAGAAGTGCTCCATTGTGTATTTAAGCTTCATACACCATCACTAGAATCATTTGGATAATTTCAGACTTGGAATTGACAATCTCTCTTGAACAAAAGCTAAAACGTAGCTGTAAACTGCTGTCTCATGACATCACAAGATGGATCAGAGCATTTTGAGCTTTAGAGATCTAAACAGACTAATAATAAAGGGTTACTCAAACATATGTGAATGAAACAAAACAGAACTCCTGGTATGTTTTTGAGGAAGCAACAATATAACACATTATAACATGATTTAAAGCTCACAATTTTGTGTAATAAATGACCTTTAAAGGAGCCATTTTGAGGACTTTTAATCATTCAAAGGTGGGACAGTGTGGTTTTTGCGTGAGAGAAGAACTTTATGAAGTGGTGACTGGCTGACAGCAAAAGAAAGACAACTTTATTACAATTGCACTTCACATTGTCATAGAGAACTTATGAACTTGTGTTTATGTATTCCACACGTATGTTTTGTGAACTCGCTGTGTCTGAATACAAGCGGTGTTTCTCAGTATACTTTTCCTGGAGCGGCGTTGCCCTCTCCACAGCGCTCCCTGGTGGCCTCCTTTGTTCACTGTCCTTTTGTTTTCAGGCCCTGCGATCCCTGTGGGCGTGGATGTGCAGGTGGAGAGCTTAGACAGCATCTCAGAAGTCGACATGGTGAGTATCTGCTCCTATAAACCGCTCCTGGGGTTTCGGGACGAATTTTTGACACACGGCAAACACAAATCAAAGTGTACACTGCAAAAAGAAATAAATAAAACTTGAATTCAGAATGTTAAAGGTGCACTAAGTAACTTTTCTCAAACAGGAGATGTCATTATTTTAGTCTGGAATGTGCCGTGGCCAGCAAGAGCAATGTTCCACAACATGGCATTAAATCTATCACCAATGAAGTAGTAGTAGTAGTAGTAGTAGTAGTAAACTCACATGGAATTACAAAAAATACAAGATAGCTAATGCCATACTGTGGGACATTCCAGAGAAGAAATAACATAAATACATCTACATAAATACAAACAACTGTTAATGCACCTTTAAAAGAAACAACAACAAATATTTAACTTAGAAATATTCAGCAAAGGATTTTAATAATTTGAAAAAAAAAAAAAAAAAACATGGAAAAACTCTAAATATTTTCTTTCAATAAATAACCTAATGGAAAATAGTAACAACTAGTCAAATTGAGATTAACATTTTACATAAATAATTTTAACTACAACCTTTTTTACACTGTAGTGCTGCTCCAATACGTCTAACATTGAACAAACCTGACATTGTAATACACATAAAGAAAAGCTTTTTCCTGAGAGACTAGGCATGATCTTTACGTTTTAGACAAGAATGTGCAAGTATGCGATCGCAGTACAGTTTACAGTACTTTTTAGAGCATGTCAGCAGCTACGGAAACCCTGTTGGGACATGCTGTTTTCTAATTAAACAACACACACCCACAGTAGGACTTCACCAAGGGATTATGCCCCAGTCAGAATCAAAACAGTAAAACAGGAATCATTTTAAACCAAAGTAAATAAATAAATGGATAAATGGATGTATCACTGTTAAAAAATTAAGCTTTGGACCGAAATATTGACAAGGAATGTTCCACAGTATGACATTAAACAACTTTGCCTTACATTTATTTAATTACAGGTAGTTTTATAGCTCAAAAATACCTAGAAAAACAGGCATTCAAACTGTGAACGAGGTTGCCTCTCCACAGATCTGACCTGTAACTTGGTCTGGTTTGGGCTCCATGAAGATAGAAAGGTTTAAAGCCATACTGTGAAACATTCCAGACAAAGTAATAACATCTCCATGGAGAAAAGCATTTAAAAGACAGAAAAGTAACACAATGCACCTCTAAAAAAAAAGTTTAAATTTCAACATTAAAAATCAATGCGCAATCTGATTAATCATGACTAATCATCAAAAGTTTTTTTTTTTTTTTCTTTTATAATTTGACAGCACTACAAAAAAAAAAACATAGACAAGAACCGAGATTTTGATGGTTTGCAATTATAAAAAACTTAGCATATTGAAGTTTTAATAATGCAATTTCATCTGAATCAAATAAACTTAATTTATAAAGCACTTTTCATACCATCCTAACCCCACAACTGCCTGACTACACATAACCAAACAACCCAGACAGTCACGTGAACAGCCACACACACACACACACACACACACAGATGCACACCATCACACACTAACATGCCAAAAGCTACATACAGTAATACATGAGGTTGAATTCAGACAAATCAGTTACCAGTTAGAGAAGCCCCATCAGAGAATGACATCTCTGTGTATTTTTTCCTCAAAGGGATATCACCATGGTCACCAGTCCCTCGTCACGCCTCGAGCCAAAACCAAACATGACAGTGCAATCAGATTTGTTTATTTCAGTTGGACACCCATCGTTTACAACCAAAGATTAAATGCTTCGCTCATTGATTCTGCAGAAATATGTTTTCACTCCCCTGTGATATTTTTTTTTCCTTTCCTCGTGAGCCGATACCTGAACCAGCAAATTTTACATTGTCCGTGCTGATATCTGGTATCAGATTGGTGCATCCCTACCAGTGTCAACCTCTTCGTCACCTACTTATGAAATTATAGGCTCCTCACATGAACACATATGTTATACTATGTTATACTATTAGCTCATGTCTGTGTAATCCACCAGTCTCCAACCTTTTTCCTCTGGTGAGCTACTTTTACAAAACGAAAATGCCAGAGAGCTACTCATTTTAGCAGTCACAAGAAATTGAGCATAAGAGCCACGGCGAGCCTTAAAAACGGTGCAGTTAGATACCTATACCTACATAGTAGTAGTAGATACCTACATAAACCATTATCCATTTATTTGTGCACAAAGTTAGGCATCAGAATGATACATGCACAATGGTAATAGACATTTATTTGATCAAATTTGACCTATTCAGGACAATATGTGTAGATTCAGAAACCCCTTGGCGATCTATTTGGAATGGGGTGGAGAGCTACCGGTAGCTTCCGTGCTACAGGTTGGAGACCCCTGGTGTAATCCTTTAGTCATCTAGGTAGGATCCATAGCAAAAGAAAATTTAAATTCTGTAAACTGGACAAAAGACGTTTCACAGTTTGTCCAGTCGACACCTGGACACATAGCTCATGATAAAAAATAAATAAGATTTAAAATTTAAAATGAAAAATCAACTTGTACATGTATTTTATTTATTGTTTGTATTGTTTCCGTGTAGGACTTCACCATGACGCTGTACCTGAGGCACTACTGGAAGGACGAGCGCCTGACCTTCACCAGCTCCATAAACAAAAGCATGACGTTCGACGGGAGACTGGTCAAAAAGATCTGGGTCCCCGATGTCTTCTTCGTCCACTCCAAAAGGTCCTTCATCCACGACACCACCACGGACAATATCATGCTCCGAGTCTTTCCTGATGGACACGTGCTCTACAGTCTGAGGTATGTCTCACACTTTTGGTTGTAAACTAAAATCTCCATTCACACATAGTTCGCAGTAAATCACCTTAACAAAATGTCAAAATACTTATCAGTGACCTCCATTCTCACATGCATCAATCGCAGAACATTACTTGGTCTGCTCTGGCACTCGCCGAATACACTTTACGGACAGAAATTATAGCCAGTTGGGATTTAAAAGGTTTAATCTAGATTTGTGGAATAATTAAATAAGATGATAACTTTTTGGTTTGAGGTCCATCATCTGCTTGTTTCTATGGATATGTCTATGGAGATGCCTGGAATGTTCCACAGTATGACATTAAACAGCTTTGCCTTACATTTATTTAATTACAGGTGGTTTTATAGCTCAAAAATACCTAGAAAAACAGGCATTCAAACTGTGAACGAGGTCGCCTCTCCACAGATCTGACCTGTAACTTGGTCTTGTTTGGGCTCCATGAAGATAGAAAGGTTTAAAGCCATACTGTGAAACATTCCAGACAAAGTAATAACATCTCCATGGAGAAAAGCATTTGAAAGACCCTCTGCCAGAAAAGTTACACAATACACCTCTAAAAAAAAAGTTTAAATTTCAACATTAAAAATCAATGCGTAATCTGATTAGTCATGACTAATCATCAAAAGTTGTTTTTTTTTTTCTTTTATAATTTGACAGCACTACAAAAAAAAAAACATAGACAGTGCTCCAAAATGTAGTATAGCCATGTTTCAAAATTCAAAACACATAGGTGAAAATCTGCTGCTTGCTTTGGTAACAATCCCCTTTGTCTAACAGCTCTGCAATTTTGAACAGGAAGTCATTTCTCCCATTTGTATTACACTGTTTACAGAGAACAAAATAAATATTATTATCCACTTATATCATAGTTCAATACTAAGTACCTGGAAAAAGCGTAATATGTCTTCTTTAAAAACACTGCTGTTTGCAGACAGGACTGCTGTAAACAGAAGAAGGCCTAATCATTACATTTCTGCCTTTTAAAATCAATACAATTCAAAAGTAATGATGTTTTTGGATAGCTTAGCTATAGCCAAACATATTAGAACAAAGATATAAGACTATTTGCACATTTGAAGATGTGAGTCGAAGCCACTGTGGCACTTTCCCCTGTGGATTGATACTCCTGTGTTGTATCATTAAGTCATTGAAATAGACTGAAAAGCCCTGCGGTCGTCACCCAAACAAACAGCTTTTGTCTGAGTGTTTTCAGACTCCGCTGACGCTCCTTCGTTCACAAAAAGTATTGAGCAGTTGTCATGTGGTGTCAGTGAAATGGCAGCGTTCAGGGAGATGTTGACAGAGAAAAGTTGCGTTTTGGGGCCCCGTATTCAGCCTGGCGTTTATCTACAGCAGAGGTATTCTCGCAGTGTGGGGTAATTTAGTTAGTCTGGTGCGCATGTTTAGACTAAAGGTCACAGGGGCTAGAAGAGCCAAGAAAAATACTTAAAGGTATTACAAAAGTCCTAAAACTGACTGAGCTTTTAGCCATGTTATAACTCTGTTACCTCCTCACAAACATACCTGGAGTTGTGTTTTGTTTCATTCATGTTTGAGTGACATTTTATTATTAGGCCCTCTACATCTCCCAAGCTCAAAATGCTCTGTTCCACCTTGTGATGTCATGTAGTGGTAGTTTTCAAGTCATCCTTTTACCTTTAGTTCACTAGAGATCGAAAATTCCAGGTCTGAAATCATCCAAATGATTCTAGTGAAGGTTTATGGAGTTTAAAAACACAGTGGAGCATTTCCTGGATTACTACATGACATCACAAGGTAGAACTGAGTGTTTTCTGTTTGAGAGAAGAATGCAGGGTTTGTGTGTTAAACATGCATGAATGAAACAAAACACAACTTCAGGTATGCTTTTAATAAGGCAACAACATTATAACATAGAACAAAAAAAAAATAGCGTTTCTGGACCCTTTAAAGAAAACCTATTGTGCTTGTTTATTATATAATTATAAACAATGGCACCCCTTGATCATTATGTTATAATTTGGACATTTTAAATCGCAATAGTGATCTAAAATGACAACAAGTTCTCCATGTGCGATGCCCAATGGGAGCTGATGTCACCATTAAACTTCATTACAACAAAGAGCCCAGAAGCTGTTGGCGCCTCCGATGGATAGCTCCAGATTACATTTACGAGCTGGGGATTTTTTTTCATTTGTACCAAAATTAGTATGCGTATCACTGATTAAGAAAATACAACTGGAGAATGAGAACTGTCTGGGCTAAAATGTTGGACTACTGTTAATGTAATTGGAAGGACAAAGCTTTAAATAATGGATGAAATCTGAAACATAAATCATCTGAAGAAGTGGTGCAGGAAATACAAAAATCATTTCACTCTATCGCACCTGATTTTTACTCTTAAAAATGTGAACGACAGACAACAGAACTAGATCATTTTAAACTGTTTGGTCCAAAATGATTCCTTCCTAATTATTCACAGTGATGAGTTTGTAAACACTTTTTCATAACTTCTATAGGCCAGATCAGAGTTTCGCCTTCATGGTAATGCTACATCAACCAGGGGGTGTAGTGGGCGTGGTGCGTGGAGGTATGCTGTCCACCCACTTCTTCCAACGTGAGATATTAAAAAACAAAACAAATATAAAATACCCTACAATTTAAATGTCAAACCGAAGCTATTGGCAATGGTGAAAACAACCTGTATAGGCTCATGAAATCTCTTATAGTGATCTGAGACATGAGGGACCAGGACTGAACCAGGACTGAACCAGGACTGAACCAGGACTAAAACAGGACTAAAACAGGACTAAAACAGGACTTAAACAGGACTAAACCAGGTCTAAGAACTGACACAGAGCTCCACATTCCACGGGGCTAAGTGCAGCGGTCTTCTGATCGCGATTACAGACACCCTGCTCCATGGGCTTCAGGTTCTCTCTCTCAAATCCAAGATTAGTCCTGGTTCAGTCCTGGTTCAGTCCTGGTTCAGTCCTGGTTCAGTCCTTGTTCAGTCCTGGTTCAGTCTTGGTTCAGTCCTGGTTCAGTCCTGGTTTAGTTCTGGTTCAGTCCTGGTTTAGCCCTGGTTCAGTCCTGGTTTCAGTCCTGGTTCAGTCTGGTTCCTGGTTCAGTCCTGGTTCAGTCTGTTTAGTTCTGGTTCAGTCCTGGTTCAGTCCTGGTTCAGTCCTGGTTCAGTCCTGGTTCAGTCCTGGTTCAGTCCTGGTTCAGTCCTGGTTCAGTCCTGGTTTAGTTCTGGTTCAGTCCTGGTTTAGTCCTGGTTCAGTCCTGGTTCAGTCTTGGTTCAGTCCTGGTTCAGTCCTGGTTTCAGTCCTGGTTCAGTCCTGGTTCAGTCTTGGTTCAGTCCTGGTTCAGTCCTGGTTTAGTCCTGGTTCAGTCTTGGTTCAGTCCTGGTTCAGTCCTGGTTTAGTCCTGGTTCAGTCCTGGTTCAGTCTTGGTTCAGTCCTGGTTCAGTCCTGGTTAGTTCTGGTTCAGTCCTGATTTTGTCCTGTTTTAGTCCTGGTTTAGTCCAGTGTATCATTCGTTCATTTGTTTTTCAATATAAAACCAAAAATAAGAAAACGAAAAAACAACAGTTTTCTACATTATTTGTCTCCAAAACCAAAATGAAAAAACAGATAACGATTCATTTTTTCAGTTTTTGATTTTGTGTTTAAATGAATAATGGAAAAAAAACAGAAAACCGCTGTTTCCCATTTCCATGACTTAAACTGCAATGCCGGACTTTTGTGCCGTATACAGACTGAACCAGGACTGAACCAGGACTAAATCAGAACTGAACCAAGACTAAACCGTTTTCAGTCCTGGTCTCAGTTCAGGTCTCAGTCCCGGTCTCAATCACGGTCTCAGTCCCGATCTGGTCCTAGTCTGGTCCCAGTCTAGTCCCCGTCTCAATCACGGTCTGATCCTGGTCCTGGTCCCGGTCTCAATCCTGGTCTCAGTCCTGGTCTGGTCCTGGTCTCAGGCCCAGTCTCAGTCCTGGTCTGGTCCCAGCCTGTGTCCCTGTCTCAGTCCCGGTCTGGTTCCAGTCTCATTCCAGGTCTCAGTCCTAGTCCTGGTCCCAGTTTCAATCCTGGTCTCAGTCCTGGTTCTGGTCCTGGTCTGGTCCTGGTCTCAGTCTTGGTCTGGTCCCGGTGTAAGTCCTGGTCTCAGTCCCGTTCTAGTTCTGGTATGGTCCCAGACCTGTTTTAGTCCTGGTTTAGTCCTGGTTCAGTCTAGCATCTCAGTTTAGTCACGGAAACGGGAAACAGCCATATCTATTTTTTTTCCCCATTATTCATATAAAAAGCTGGAGGACGTGTCTGGGGTGAAGGAAGTCTGGGAGTCCCTGTCTCGGTAAGTGGAAGAAAATGGATGGATGGATATTCATATAAACACAAAATCGAAAACTGAATAAACGAATCATTATCCGCTTTTTGTTTGTTTTTTTTCCTTTTTGGCTTTGGAGACAAATAATGAAGGAAACAGTTGTTTTTTCATTTTCTTATTTTTGGTTTTATTTTGTAAAATGAATAAATGAATGACACACCGATTAGTCAGTCTACAGGTCATTTATTTCAGACAGTGACCGTTTCAGTATTTTCAGGGCTTCTTTTTGATACAAACCGTTTTTTCCGACATTTGTGTTATTCTAAGTTTCTTTTTGATCTTTTCGCAAACTTCAAAGCTCGCACACATTAGCATACAGACATTGTTAGCGGATCATGTATGTGCATTATTCATCTAGTTTTGGGGATGTGTGTCTTCTGCTCTGCCCTCTGCATTTGGTGTTTTGTTTAGACAAGTTGATTAATATTTGAAGCTGCATCGGATTTAAAATACAAACTGTGTTGATTTTGGAGATGTGAGGAGAGTCTTGGCGTATGGCTTTTAATAATGCATTCAGTGGGATTTGTACATCCACTGAGGTCATGTTTTGACAGTCATCGGTTCATTTGCAAGTTTGTATGATCAGTCAAAATGTAATGCTTAAATAATTATAAGT